TTCTTTTTTGTGGTTGCAGCTTTTTTCTCAGGATAATGCCAGTGTTGTTGTTCTGCTGATTTAGTTGGTGGTTTCCATTTAGAACCAGCTCAAGACTACAGAGGGAATTTTCTGTCTGTCTTTGATATGTTCCTGTTTGTAAATCTTCGTAGTTTGGGTCATTGCTGTGACCAGTAATAACTCCAGGGACTTGGCTGAGGAAATATTCCTTTCTAGCTGAATGCACCAAGTAATGAAGCCTTTCCATCCTCAGCATTCTACACCTTAGACCAGTGTAATTTGAGATAGTGGCAGGACACCCATTTCCTCCTTCACTGACCTGTCAATTGGAGTTCTGCTAATGGAATTGTTTAGAGACTAATGTGTTCCCATTTTAAAATACACAATCAATATAAAAATACAGAATGAGATTATGTAGTCTAAATGACATCTGCTTTAAGCCTGGTGCTGCTTAAGATACTTTGCATCTGTAAAATTCTGCTGCTACCCGTCCTGGATAAATTGCATGGAAAGAGGTACTGGATTTTGTAAGCTCTTTTTCCAGGAAGGTGATGAGATTCTTTTCCTGGTTGTGAAGCATTGGACACATGGGAATCACGTTTTCTTCTGTTGCAGATCACAGAGGCCTTGTTGAAGGAAAGAGATAAACAAGCAAAATGGAATGGGATCCCCTTGCTGTTGCAGAAGCTGTATGAGCACAGCCACCCAAACAGCGACTTCTCCCAGTGCCAAAGCATCCTAAAGGTACTGGCTGCACCCTTCTTCCTAAAGCTTGAGATAATTTTGTTTTGGTTTTCTTTAAAGTCTGCTGTGATCATACTCTTATTAATTTTTTAAGCTGTCTGCATGATGGTATCTGTCCAAAATTGGCTGTAAGTAAGAGCTGGGGATGTAGGTAGTGATTAGTCCACAGATAGTGAAAGATAATTGTGTTTATACTGATGAACACTTTTCTTTTTGAACCATCTCTTTATTTTTTTCCCTACATGCAGGAAATTTCTCCACTCCTTTCGATGGAAGCCATGGTTTATGTCACAGAAGACAGAAAAGCTGCTCAAGAGTCCAGTTTTCCAAACACCTACACCTTTGACTTGTTTGGAGGAGTCGATGTAAGTGTGCTTTGTCAATACCAAAAGATCTGCATGATACTCTTCCCACTGAAAAATCTCTTCAGTGAGGTCTTTGAAGCTTCTAAATGCAAGCTACAGAATGACTTTGCCAATTTGATGTTAAGCATTAGAATTGTGCCACTTTCTGTTAATCAAAATAGGAAAAGGGTGTATTTTTCAAGGTATTGCATTCAAAGTGAGGTGTTTTGTTCTTACATGGTATAGAATACCTGCCTGTTTCTTTAGTCAGCCTGTTTTTACCTTAAAAAAAAATTACACCTTTAGTTCTGAATGAAGACAGGAATCGAATGGTTCATGGTTGTGAGATAAAATAACACAACTGGTATTGGAGCAGTGAGAATTTCCCTTAACACGGGGGGATCTGGGACAGTTTGAGCACTCCAGGGTTCTGTCTTAGCCAGGTTGTCTGTGTTTATTGCTTCATCTGTGGCAAAGTTTTTTAAACAAACTGGAAGGTTTCTGTGGACATTCTGGCAATTTATCATTTTGTTTATTTGCTTTAATTCTACATTGCACAAATACCCATTTGCTCAGTTTTTATGGTGCCAAACTCTAGCTTGCCTTTCATTAGAAATGCATGATTTCTATTTTCCAGTGAACTAATTGACACTTTTTTTATTTAGTTTGACTGAACAGATTTTGCTGTTTATTCCTTGTCACACTCAGCTTGCTTTTACTTGAAGTGCTGTTTATGTTGTTTTGAAATGAGCACTGGTTTAGTTGCTGCTGTCAGTTGAGGGTAAAAGCCTTCAGCTACCCAAGCAAATGAGAACACTATGAAAATGTTTTAATTTTCTCTTGTTTTTAAAGGGAAATAGTGGTACTTCTGTAGAAATGATTTTAAACAAAGTGCACAGAATCTGTGTGTGTTCGGGACAAGTTTTTGCTGTGGTTTGATTGGTTGGGGCTTGATTATTTTTTTTCTCCTTGGGCTGGAGATGGTGAATATCAGATCCACTGTAATTACCTGGTGCTATGGTCAGAGATTTGGCTGACAGAGGTGGATTTAATGTAACTAAAGGCAGTCATGGAAGCCAGTGCTGTGTATTGTCAAAAATCCTGCTCTAGGATTTGATCTGCTGGTGCTGGGTGTGCCATGTGCTGATTTTATGTTGCAATATTTTGAGCTGACATGAGTAATTTTAAAGGACACTCAGTTTGCAGTGTACTCTCTAGGCTACAGTGTATGAGAATTAAAATTTTTTTGGATTCTGACAGCCTTTACATCAAGGAAGAACAAAACCAGCTCAGTGAATCCATGGAAAATAAAACCTGAGAGTGCAAATACACAAACCTCCTGGATTTTATACCTGAATGTAACCCCATCCCAAGAAACACAATCTCATAACTCCCTTTCTGCTCCTGCCTCTGGTGAGAGGCAGAAAACCCAAGAATTAAAGCATAAACCCCAAACTTTGAGGTGCATTCTTTTCCTAAAACACAAGCCATTAATATGAGATCTGTATTACTGCAGTAATTTTTCTCTACCCCATTAATGCTACAGCTACTACTACAAATAATGCTAGAAAATGTATATTCCTCTTAAAAGTTGCCTATTTATTATTTATTTGTCAGTGCCTTTAATGTAGCCTCTGGTGATGTCAGGTGGTTTCCTCTGTGTCTGGATCAGTAGTTCATTAAAAGAATGGTAATGTTAAGATGGCCCTAATAAATCAAGATTTAAGCTCTTGGGTATTTTGTGAGTTGGCACTGACTGGGTGATGCCTGCATTGTTGCTAAAAAATTTAAACTGAACTTTAAAACCGGCAGCATTTGCAGTGGTTCTTGCAGAAGTCATCAGTTCCTTTTGTTTGCCAACTTTCATTTTTAAATCAAGTGCTGTTTTTTTCAAATGTTTGAAGCTAAACCAGTGGTACAGACTAGAGCAACTAAAGATCAGTTCTGTATCAGTCAGAACCACAATCTTGGTCTTGGAAGGCTGATTGTTACATTCCTTAAATAGAAATATGAATGTAAATGTACATACAGAGTCCTGTACACAAGCAGTGGCTTTTTGGTGCTGAGATAAAATCTGGAGCTGCTAAATTCTGTCTGGACCTGAAATGTTTTTGAAGCCCAGCAAGATTTAGGGAGAAATTTGCATCTCTTTGCAGATTATTGCTAAAGATTCCTTATTTTAAGAGATGTGTGATCAGCATCCTTGATGTAATCTGGAGGCATGTGAAATTACATTCCTTGCAAGCTCAAACTCTTTGAAACTTGCCAGTGGGAAATTATTTTGTACAGGTCTTACTGTTTCTTCAGGGGAAATGCAGCTATTATTTGTCAGTGTAGTTTTTGACACCAGTGGGGGTTTGATTGTAGAGCCTTCATTATTCACCTCTGTGACTTCAGCAGAGACAGGTTTGGGTTAGTCACTGGCAAATTATTTGGTTATTTGTATCTCAGTGATCATTGCCTTAATTATTTTTCTTATTTTTACAGCTTTTAGTAGAAATTCTTATGAGACCAACTCTTATTACACAGAAAAAGAAGCAGAAAAGTAAGTAAATAGATAGTTTATCTCTTTTTCTTCTCCTCAATTTTGCCTGGTGTTTCTGTTTCAGACAGAAATTGTTCTATTTTTCTGTTATTCTCTTTCCATCCCAGCAATTTTCTGTTGATTCATTGAGGAGTGAATCATTGGTTTCTTTGTTCTCCATGGTACTGATTCGTGCTGGGATTTGGGAGGGTCACCTGTTTCTGGCACAGCTCTGGAGATTCACACACTCAGCACAACACCCTTGACTCAAAGCACTAAATCTGCAATCAGTGGAAGCTCTTATTGTTCCTGTGGCTGCAGCTACAGTGAAAAATTATTAATAATAAGCCACAAAACATTTTTTATGTAATGGGAGCTACACAGATTGTGAGATGAGTAGCTCAGGAAAACAGCACACTTTTTGTTATGTGACTGCTCATTTCCACATTTCTGTAAGGAGAGAGGGTGCAGTGGCTTCAGCTCAACTTTCCTGCTGGAGCAGCTTGGCTGCAGTGTTTTCATTTCCTCTGTTTGGGATTCTGCTGGTTCCCTGAGCCCTGCTGAGGGAAGGGAATGTCATGGTGCACCCTGTGCCTGCCAGCCAGGGAACTTCAAAGGTGTAGTGATTTGAACTGCAGCTTTAGGCAATTAAAGGTCTGTACTGAAAACATGTTCTAAATATTAAAATGCTGTGGTAAAGCAGATTGAAAGTTTTTCTATGCAGTCCAAGTGCTGAGAAAACAAGCATGAGTTTCCAGTGGAGAAAACTACGTCAACTGTCATTTCTTTTCCCCCATACAAAAAAAAAATTTAGCACGTGAACAGGTCGGGTATAGAGTGTTTCTTGTGGCTTCTATGCCATAAGGCATTTGCATGGATTCTCTGAGCTGGCAGCCTGAAATTGTCACCCATCCCGTAGCTCTGTGTGTCCCTCCCACGTGCACTGGTGCTCCTTGGCAGGGAATGGCTGCTGACTGTCTGCTCTCTGCTTTGCAGTAAGTGATGACCTCATCAAGGACTGTTTAAGCATACTGTACAACACCTGTATATGTGTAAGTACAACTCTTCTGGTCACTTCTGACATGTGCTACTTGATAAGACAGCAAACAGACTCTTTTAAGTGTAACTTGAACTTACTCTGAAGCTTTACATGAATATTCCTTCAGTTAAATACAGAATCACTCTGTATTTTGATGTGTTGCTCAAACAATTTGTTTTCTGAGCTGCATTGTCAAGCTTAAGTTCCCTTGTTTGGATCTTTGTCTGTGTGTTTCCATAGGAAAGCTGTGCCAGCCTTTGTTATGTTCCAGCTTAAAATCTGAAGCTGGGAATGGATGCCTGTTAAGCCCAGCTACAGCTGGTCTTATTCAGAATTGGGGCTGGCAAAGGGTTTTAAATTTGATCCTGCAACTCTGTGTGCTGGATTTTAGTTCAGTTCAGTCATTGCAGATCAGTGCAAAGCAAGGTGCTGGGTTAAAGGCATCTAGAAATACCTTGTCATTAAAATCCTGACTCAGATTATGCATGCAGGGAACATCCTCAGGATTGTTTACTTCATCACACACCTCATTATTCCATAACCTAGGGAACATTGTTTAACAAAAATTTTAAAAAGAGCCAGTTAGTGGCTTGGAGCTGTTCCAAAAACATCAGTCTAATCTCCAGAGTTTGAGTCTTATTAGATCATGTCTCACTGATAAGGCTCTGTGTACACATAGGAGGGGGAAGAGAGGGAACAATTTTTCCCTTGGCTTGGATGATTTATTTTTTTAACTGCAGGAAATGCAACTTTTGCAAGCTGAGAACAGCATGATATGCTATAAAACAAGTTTTCAATTTCTAGACTAGCTGCTCTGTTTTAATTCACTTTGGTATTACTGCTGGGATTGGTGCCCAGGATCACAGAAATGGTCTGTGGGCAATATTAGTGTTTTTTATGCTTATCTGTAAATATTGGGGAATTACCTTGCTAGTCTGATTCTGTGGGCACTGGGAATATGTCAGTCATGGATAAGACATAGTTTTGCAAGCAGTGAGGATTTAGTTGTGAGTTCCAGGAAAGCCTGACTGTGCTTTGGTCAGACCTCAGAGCATGAAAGGCAGCCTTAAACTTAAATCCTAAACTCAGCCTGACTTTAGGCTTCATCACCCCGTTCAGTCAGGCCAGTGCTTGATGTGGGTTACTCAGACAAAGCAGAGCTGAGGGTTTAGGAGCTGCTGTGTGTGCAGACCATGGCATGGAGCTGCTCCCAGTTGGTTTGGCAGAGCAGAGGCAAGCCCCGTGGTGTGTGCCCAGGCAGGCAGGGCTGCCTTGAGATTCCACAAGGGAACAACTGCCTTGAGGTGAAGCCTCTCATCCTGGCAGTGCTGCCAGCACCACGGTGACTTCAGACAGGGACAGGAGGTGGTTTGGGCTCTCACTGGCTCCGTGTGTGCTCATTTGCAGACGGAAGGAGTCACACGGCGGCTGGCAGAGAGAAACGACTTCGTGCTCTTCCTGTTTACACTGATGACAAACAAAAAGACATTCCTACAAACTGCAACGCTCATTGAAGATATCCTGGGAGTTAAAAAGGTTAGTCACTGCTTTCTTAATACCATTTGTATATGGCTTTTCAGCCCAGTGGAGGAAGGAGGGCTGTTTCTTTGAAGAGTTGCTGAGGATAGTCCTCTAAGCTGCCATTCTCACTTCTTACAGCTTGTTTGAAAGCTGCCTGTTCACAGTGGTCATTAACTGCAGTCACTTCTCATGAGGAAGCCAAACTCCTCCTGTGCTGTCATACTTGCAGTGCTTTTATGCTTTTACCCAGTTCAGAGGATGATGGGAACTGTGTCCCCATGACCTGAGGACCTCTCTATCATTAAAGAACAGCCAGTATTACAAATAAAGAATATGAACCTCATATAAATTCAGTTTTCATCCTTGCCTACTGATTGTATCTCACATACTTTACTTGTCCTCCTCACATCTGGGAGGCTTCCTGTATTCCTGGGCGTTTGTCACCTCTCTGAGAAACTGTAGGCTAGGGGACACAGGGCTCTTAAATCTTCTGCACAAACCTGGTTATTGAACTTATTTACCAGCATCATTGCAGCTCAGTGCCCTGATGTGATGCAAGTGAAATACTTGAGCTGTAACCTTGGGAAAACCTCGATTGGAAAGTGTCTATATACATTTTGTGGAGAAGGTCAGGAGTCTGTAACTTGATACTTATTATTTAGAATAAGATGGAGGTTAATGTACTTCCTGAAATAGGAAAGAAGCTTAGTTTATTTGAACAAAAATGTGGTTTTTTTCTGAAAGCTGTTTTCATCGTTTTTTTAGAAAAAATAACTTCTTATGAAAAGAGTGAGAAATAATTTAGAAGTTCTTACCTATGAGTTTCAAACAAAAGACTGTTTTGGAAAACAAAATTGGAACTTCTAATACCTAAACATAATTTATGTATTAAATTAGGTTGTGGTTTTGTGCGTTTTTTAGTTAAAAGAGATCCCCAATTTTTTTGTAAATATAAAAATAATGTTTAAAGTGTGGATATCTATACTTCTGGAGTTGCTAAGCCTGACAACAGCTGTAAATCCCAGCTAACACTGGAATAACCCAGAGAGCTCCCCAGGGAGGATCTGCCTGTGTTCACTTATTGACCATCACATGTGACTGAGCTGCTGTTGCCTCCTGCAGGAAATGATCCAGCTGGATGATATTCCCAACCTGGCCAGCCTGGTGTCCAGCTTTGACCAGCAGCAGCTGGCCAACTTCTGCAGGATCCTGGCTGTCACCATCTCGGAGCTGGACACAGGCAGTGATGACAAGCACACACTTCTGGCCAAAAATGCCCAGCAGAAAAAAAACTTGGGCCCTTCCCGAGCTGAAATTAATCAAGGTAATTGCTGTACTTTGAACAAATCAGAATTATCTCAGCAATCTGTGAAGTTTTCCTCTCCTCAATGTCACACAGTGTTGTTTCTGAAAGATACTGAAAGGGTTGTGTCTTACAAAGCATTTTTCTTGATTCACTCCCCTCAGATTGTTTCCTGGAAACAGTGTTTCATGGTAGTCAAACTTTGTAGCTTTTGGTTTCAGATGGTGTTGCTAATGAGGTTGGTTAATTTCTGTCATTTCAGCATTCTCTGAGTGGTTTAAAATAATTGGATTTGTTTTCTGTGTCTCAACCACATCCATGGACTTCCCATTAGAAGCTCTCAATAATTCTGTCCTCCATAAAATATGAATTCCTGAACTAAGCTGCCTGCAGTGTGCTTGCTGTTGGAGCAGTTCCTTCTCTGATTTTATCTGATGTTGTCCTGAACAGGATGTCTTTATCAAAAAGAGAAGTGTGTTTATTATTAATTACATTGCCCAGTGTTATCAAACCAGCCTTGGAAATCTGTGGTGCTGATCTCAGCCTTAACTTTGGGCACAGTGCAGCTGTCCTTACTTTGCTGAGTGCTTCTTTGTGCAGAAGTCTTGCCTAGGAGGATGAGTAGGGATTGAAAAAGTTAAAAGTACCATCAGATATAGTTTTTTGTTTTCAGTTTTACTGTGTGAAAAGCTTTTGGGCTTCTGAAGCAGATTTTTGCATAGACCCATGCCAAGCAAATGTTTAGCTAATCATTTTTATGGGCACAATCAGAGACTAATTCTAAGGCTCTACAGGATATTCTATTTTTAAAATTTTATCAAGGAGCCTATTCTTTCAGAGATGCAACTCCCTCATGTAATGTTCATGGCCAAATTCTTTGTCCTTTTCTCCTTGCCACCACAAACGGGAGGTGAAGCTTTAGCCATGTATCTTTAATAAACGGGTCCTGTAATTCAATTGTTCTTGAGGGCAAAATGCACCTCCCCAAACGTTTTGCAGAGCAGTGACTTCTGTCCTTGCACTGCTCTTTTGAAGGGTGCAGTTCCAAAGTCAAAACCCTCCCACCTGGGGCTGCTGTGGTGTGTTCTCCACCTGTTTTACTCCATGAGGAGCTAATCCAGGAACTGAGAAGCTGCCAGCTTTCCTCCCTGCCTCCACAGGGAGCCAGTTCAGTCACTGCAGACCAGCACCACAGGAGGGAAATTGAAGGAGGAAAAGGGAGGTGGAGCTGCTCCTTCCAAAGGCTGCTGCTTTATTTCTGCCAGCTTAGTTTTCAGCCACATCAGTTCCTTGGTAAGGCTGAAGAACAACACTGAATTATTCCTGGGGTATGGATGCTCTCTTCCAGTCCTTAAGAGCAGAGTGCACTGAATTCTTCCATCTTCAGGTCTTTTTAACCATACACTTCTGTATTCCTAAAGTAGATGTGCTGGTACCTTGTGATGATCTTAAATTGTAAAAAAAATATTTTTTTTTTCCAGCTACACTTCTGAATATTCCAGGCTTCATTGAGAGGTTGTGCAAGCTGGCCACACGCAAGGTGTCTGAAACAACAGGGACTTCCAGCTTCCTGCAGGAGCTGGAGGAGTGGTACACGTGGCTGGACAATGCCCTGGTGCTGGATGCACTGATGAGAGTGGCAAATGAAGAGGCAGAGCAGAGCAGTACAGGTAGCTGGCTTGAATCCCTCCACTCACCAGCAGCTTGTTCAACCTTCCTCAGGCTTTGCCTCGTGTTCCTTTTCCTTTCATCTGGTCCTGATTCCCCTTTTCTTGCATGGAGGACTCACATATCAGCATTGAGGTCTGACTTCAGTTTTGCTCTCATGTAGCACTGATTTTTTTTTTTATTTTTTTTTTTTTAGTGAATTAAAATTAGCCAAAGGAGAGATCTTCCAACAATGTGTGCCCTTTGCATCCCTAGCTAACACTGAAGTGCTGTGCATCCTCAGCCCTAACCTCCTCTAAAGTGGTGAAGCTAAGTGGCTTCACCAACATTTTAGTCTAAAACTTTAGCTCATGATTTTGGGTTCAAATGCTTCACACCAAGCAAGTGGCCCCTTCTTTAAAAAGGAAAGGTATTTGCAGGTAAATTGAAGAAGTTAATTAAATAATTGCTCCAGTGGAAGTGTTAATACAACATTAGGAAAGTCCTTTGGAGCATGTGTGTGGTTTGTTTCTTCACCCTTTGGTATGACAAAAATGCAGTGTATGTCTGGTAGAACTCAAAGTGCTTCGTGCTCCTGTTTCTGGTCTTAGCAGGGTAATTCTCTCTAAGGTTATGAAATTTATTTAACTGTGGCCTAAGAATAGTGGTACTGAGGTATGAAATGAAGGTAGGTTTAATAGTAAGTGCTTGTGATAATCTCCCGTCTACTTTTATTACCTTTCTGCCATGCTCTGGTGCAGTAGTCTATTAATTCATTTAGGTGAACCTACTTATTTTTGGGATATGCTGGCATTTAGTTCGTTATGGAAAAAGAATTCTAAAAATCTGGTTTTACCTCTTCTAAATTTTCAGCTGTATTTTTTCTTTGCCATATAATTCAAATTGGTTATTTGCTGTACATCACTATTTTTACTTAAGAAATTTCCAGCAGATGTGCTGCTCCTGCATCTGCAGTGTTCAGTGTAAAAGGAACAACTGTAACAAATCCTTTCCTGTTGAAACTGCCTCAGTCTCACAGCTTTGCCATCTTTTTCAGAGTCTTCAGATGAGAGTGGACTGGCCAACACCTCCACAAGGACACAGCTGCCCCAGTCCATGAAGATCATGCACGAGATCATGTACAAGCTGGAGGTGCTCTATGTTCTCTGTGTGCTGCTCATGGGCAGGCAGAGGAATCAGGTGAGCCCCACTGGATGCTCCCACTCACACTTGGTGTCTTTTTAAACCTGAGTGCTCATGAATGAGGTCGTGGACACAGAAATGCCAGGGCAAAGCTCAAGGTACAAAGCTGGGCAGTCCCATCCTGGCAGCCCTGTCCAGAATTCAGGCAGAGTTTCACTGGGAGCAGCTTGGGCAGGGCTGGTCACACACTCTGCTCTGCAGAGCCTCTGCTCTGTGCAGGAGGAAGAGTGTGGTACCTGCATGCTGCAGTCAGGTCTTCTCCTCCCTCCTGGTGACCAGTTTGGATGGGGCCCCTTCAGGCCTTACCCTTCTTTGGCTGCTTTCACTTTTGGAAATGCTCTGGATGATTTTTGCAGCATATTGCCATGACTTGGCAAAGTGTGAGCATGCTGCTAAACTCCCAGCTGGGAAGATGCACTTCAGTGCTGTCTGCACTGGTCACTGCCTGGAAATCCCACTCACATGTTCCTTTGCCTTTCTTCCTTTTGAAATAATAAAAAAAAAAAATTGTTCCCTGTCTCACACAGGCTCATGAAGAACCAGTCATTGCAACTCAGCTGTGGTTTGATTTAAATGGGTCAAAAGCAGGTTGTGAAGGGAAAAGCAAAGCAATCCTTGGTGCAGTTTTGACAAGTTTCCAGCTTTGGCAGCCTGCTCAGCTTGGGATAGCAGGGGGGCATTCAGATGTCCTGGACACTGGGAGAGCCAAATTGGTGTGAGTTACTGAAAGGCTGTTGTATTAGGCAGGAGAGGCTGTGTTGTGGGCAGGGGTTGGAGCACGTTTGTCTGGAGTATTTTGTTCTCTGGTAGTAACCTCTCAGGTTATCAGTCACAAACACTCCCCAAGGCAATCTCCTGAGTCTCTTAATCTGAATACAGGTGCAGTTGTAGCTCAGTCCCAAACATAACTGACCTGTTCCCTCTGAACCTGCAGCAGAGTTTGTGGACTCCCCATCACTGGAAGTGTTCAAGGCTGGGGCTTGGAGCAGCCTGGTCTGCTGGAAGGTGTCCCTGCCCATGGCAGGGGAATGACATGGGCTTTAACATCCCTTCCATCCCAAACCATCCTGGCATTCTGTGATTCTAAGCAGACACTTGGCATGAAGAGAAGCAGATTCTGCATGAGAGGAAGCAGAGGGAACCAGTAATTCTTGCAGGAACCACAGTCACTACCATAAACAACTCCTAATCATGTTGTCATTCCTTTTAGAAATGCTGTTTCTGTTAGACATGAAATAAAATGTAAACAAAGCCCAAAACATAACTGAAACTACCAGAACATGGATCTGTTAGGAAAACTTTTTCTTTTCCATTGTATCAAGGCAGATAATTCATTCCTGCCAAGAATGCAGGTTTATAGATTCTGCAGAAACTGCTGGCAGCCTACACTCATCCTACTGCTGCTGAAGGGAGCTGGAGGTGCTGGATTCCTTCCCTCCCTGGCTCTTTTCTGGTGTGTTCTTATCAAATGTGGCAAGGCAAAAAATCTGCTGCTGAAGCTAGCTTTGAAGATGAATTTATGTTTTAATTTCCTGGGAACACAACTCTTACCCTTCATCTGCTCTTTCTGCCCCTGTGCAAATGGAGAAACTAAAGATAAACTGGCCTGCACTTCACTTCTTCCCAGGACTGGAGTTGAATTCTTGAATGATTTGAGTCACTGCATTCCCAAACACTTCTTGTCCAGAGACAGGGGGTTTTTTGTTTGTCTTAGGATTTTTTGTTTTGTTTGTTTGCTTGTTTGGGGGGGAGCTGGTTTTTGGTTTTGTTTTTTTTTCTTTTTTTTTGTTAAGTCCTCTGCCTTTAAAACACATGCTACATCTTTCATTCCTTAATCTGCATAAGACTTGTGTGGCAGATGTGAATCTCCTGCCCTTCTTGAGAGCCCAGCAGAGGAAGGACTGGAGCTGAACTCTCCTCCATGGGAAGCTGTGGAATGCAGGCACAGCAGTGTGCAGTAGCACCCTCACACAAGCATTTCAGCTGCTTTTTGGTCTCTTTTCTGTGAAGGAATAAAATCACAGGATCTGTGGTATGAATCTGAGGAGCCAAAGGACTTGCTGGTTTTAGATTGGATTCATTTTGCATAGAATTTTATTAAGGGCATCACAAACCTGCTTCAGTCTGCTGTAATAATAGACATAATGGTCTGGCATTTGCTTGAAGCAAGGTGCAGCCTCCCAAGCTCAACCTGTCCCCAAATGAATCTCTGAATACTTGGTTTAAACTTGATTGCTGGCTAATTTGCATAAATTGATAACTGTGGTAGCAATGACTTGGCTCCTCCTGTTACCATGTTGGGGATGATCTCACCTTTGGGAATAAATGGTGTTTCTCTGCAGATCTGGGCCTTTGCTGCCTTCTCATTATGGTCACACCCTAAATTACTTTCCTTATATATTTTTCTAGGCTGTCTTGCATGTATGTGTTGTGGTGAGGAGCCATCAGCTGATTTCCTTGCTGCTGTTGTAGGGAGCCACACTGCACACACAAACTCAGCAGAAACAGCAACAGAGCAATTCCTGTGAAGCTGGATGGCAGCAGGAAAAAGCCAAAGCAGCTTGCAAGTTGAATATAAAGTGGGGGCTGTCTTGACATCCTCAGGCAGAGTAATTGTAATGAGTTTGGGTTCTGGGAAGGAGAATGATGCAGAGGCAGTGATGTGACTTAGGAGCTCAGTCAGGTGAGAATTCAGGGCTGAGCAAACCAAACTGCACAGATGTGGAATGTGAGTCATTTGGAAAGGAGCAGATTCAGGAGTTAAGACTGAGTGTAGAGAGTTCTTCCTTTAGTGAGGATTGAGGCTCTTGCAGGCAGCTCACACACTTGGCTTCCTCCTGTGTGCCTGTGCCATGGAGGGACAGGATCACTACAGGGAGCACTTTGTTCAGAGACATTCCTCAGAGCTTGCTTTTGTGCTAAACCAAAGTGTCCAAGAGTGTTTGAAAATAATGGAGCAGCAGAGGACTCCAAGCTCAGCAATCTGTCAGGACAGTGTGGGTGGGGTGGGAAGGAGCTCCTCAGGTGTGTATTTGAGGTGTTCAGCAACAGGAATGTGATTTCCATAAAGATGGGAGAGCAGGTGCCTACAGCCAAGAGGAGTGCAAAAAGCCATTGCTGTGATACAAAGGAACTAAAACCTTATAAAAAGGCATCAGTTTCAGATACTTTGATTCATTCAGGTATTTGAGTAAATAGAGCAAATTAGATTGATCTGCTTGAAATGCTGCTGGTCTGCATCTTGGGACAGGCTGGGGTGTTTTTAAGTTATTTTGTTTGCTGATTTTAAGGAACATGTCCATTACTTGGGCGCTTGATTTTTGCAGAATGTTGGACATTCCAGTCATGTGATTTTCATTTGTAACCACATCTCAAGGAATAATGCTTGTCCTAGGCCTACGGCTGATAAGGATCCCACTTTCTAGTTCCCTTAGTTCTCATCTTCTAAATTCCTTACATCAAAACTATCCCAGCTTGGACTGAAGGTATTAAATAGCTGTTCATACCAAAATTATTAGCTTTTTTATGTGAATAAAAAAAAGATGTGCCAGGCAGACTGATAAATGAACCTGAGCAATTGGACATTTTTTTCTTCTTCTCTTTAACCTGGAGGAGCAGTGTGGTGTGGTTGTGTTACTGCTGCACTCTGCTCAGTATTCCTGCTCAGGTGACATGAACAAAACCAATATTGATGGGTTTTGTTGTCATCAGGGGCCTGCCTGAGCTGCAGTGTGTGTGGAGAGGGAAAGGACACATAGAATATCCCCAGCTCAGCTGTTTGGTGTAGATGCATTTTCAGTGTGCTGGAACACACTGATTAATTGAAGCACTGGAGAAGAGCTTTATCACAAAATGTCTGTTTTCTATCCATGTCCACCAAATGGAAACTGCTGTGATTAACACAAACACTTGCTCTTTGATGCAAGAATTCACATCCTTTTGTCAGAGAATGACATCATTGTGCCCATCTGTTTACAGACTACATTAAATCTTTGCTTGAGGCTGGAGCAGACCTGTTTGTACCTCTTTTGTTCCCCAGGTTCATAAAATGATAGCAGAGTTCAGACTCATTCCTGGCCTCAATAACCTGTTTGACAAACTCATCTGGAGGAAGCACTCTGCCTCAGCCCTGGTTCTGCATGGACACAACCAGAACTGTGACTGCAGCCCGGTGAGGAACTTGTGCAATTCTGTTCACAATTCAATCCCATCCTGGCACCCAGTTCTGAGGAGCTGTGCTGAGAAACTGCATGTTTGTATAATCAATGACTTGAGATGTGGCAGCATGCAGATTTTGGGGGATTATTGATTTCACTGAAGTCTCTCCCTGGCTCATGATAGCAATTTAGCAGAGCCAGTTTAGCCTCTCCCCTCTTTCCTAGTTCATTTGTTGATTTTAAGGAACATGTTCACTTTTGGAACTGAGAAAGGAGTAAATTTATGGACCCTGGAGTCCAGAGGTAGAAGACAACCAAAATTCAAAGAAATTATACCCAGGAGAGTCACAGAGTACAAATTGTGCCAGTCAGGTTTGGAGGGGTTGGGTTTTGTGTTGGACTCTTCAAGTGTTTTTTCTTTATGAACCTAGACATTCTAAATTGATCAATACAATTCTAAGCTTTTTTGCTTTTGCAGAGAGAAGGAATTATTACCTGTTATGTGTATAGGCTTGGAGGCAATCTCCACTTCTATTTTGGGAAGTGCAGCCTCTCCATTTATACAAATCACTTGCTGTGCTCTCTTTGATTCAGAAAGGTTTTCCATGCAGCTGTTTCATGCTAGCTTGGTAACTAATGCTGGCCAAAAATACTAAAGCAAGAATGTTTTTTTTTCTCCTTTTAGGACATTACTTTAAAGATACAATTCTTGAGGCTTCTTCAGAGCTTCAGTGACCACCATGAGTGAGTATGAGAAGCTGTGGTGGGTTGTGGTTCCAGGTGTCCTGGGCATGAGGCAGGCTCCATGTGAAGGGAATGTTGTGCTGTCCCTAAACTTCATGTTCCTTTCAGCTCTTGCTGAAACAGCCTAAGAATTTGCACTGTGGTGGGCATGTCTGAATATGTCTGGTGTGGTTAAAATCCAACCTATTTTGTCTCATGTTGAAATGAGCTGAAACATGCACAGGATGAGTTAACACTTTCTGGCTGAAGGAATAAGGAGGCAGCTTTGCTCTTTTTCTGCCTTCTCCCTGAGAGCTGACAGTGAGCCAGGGAAATAGGAAGAAATCCTTAGGAAAACTTGGGTCTGTTGGAGTAGTTGGAGGGGTGATGCAGTTTGCTTGGGGTTATTAAATGCTGTGCTGCTGGTACAGAAGTGTTTGTGACTTTTGGAATTGCATCCTGCATTCCATTCAATGTCCTGTTGCTCTCCTTCAGTCCTGGGAGATGATGTCCACTTCCTTACAAACCCCTGTGTTTGAGGCATGTTGCACTTCAGGTGCTGCTCATTGCTAGAGCCAGGCTGAGATTTTTGTGCAGGATTTTAGTCCTGTTGGATAGATTACAAATATCAGCCTTTTTGATTGTAGAATACTAGCTTTGAGAATGAGGGGAGCTGCTGGACAGGGAAGGAATGCTGACCTATTGTAAATTCTTCATGCAAGACAGTGTTTGCCTGGGAATCACTCCAGGTTTTCCAATAAAATCTCTGCAGGTGATGTTACTGCTTAAGTAGCTGTTACAAAAGATCTCAGGCTTGTTTGAGCAGAAAACAGCTCTCAGCTGTACTGTTTGGGCAAGTGGAATGTTTGGAATCTGTTTGGGGGGTTTAAATAACTACATGATCTTTCTATGAAATCACAGATCAAGCAGTGAGGACGAGATGAGAGCAAAGTACTTGTATGCTGATATTTCACTGATATTAATTCATTGAAATTGTGTCCAAACCAACCTTGCAGAACTGTTTGTTGCAGGGAGAGAAGGGCTCTGTTCTCATTGCAGAAACCTGTTCAATCTTTACACAAGAGCCTCAGTGAGCACTAACCTGCTGACAGTGTTGGAAGCAAAAGGAGCCTCACACTCATCACTGCATCCTCTGCTCCCTGAGCTTTCCTGAAAAGGAATCTTTGCTGTCTGATTTTGAACACTTGGAAGCAGAAAGGGAGCAAAGAGAGCCCCTGGACTACATTTCTATTCTTGTCAGATTTATTCTCCATTTAGTTCACTTTACAGACAAAATAATTTATTTTCATTATAAAAAGTTCAGTATTGGATAAAAAATTCATGTCATTCCTGGGGCTTATATCCATTTTTATTTGGATCTTTACATTTCATGATGTTTTTAAATATTTCCAGGGTAAAGTTTGTTTAGATGATCAAATGCCAGGATGACTGAGGCCTTTCTTGCAGTTTCTGCTTTCTTACTTAGAGATTTCTTACTTAAAGGGAGCAATCACTATGGGGTGGAGAAAAACTTCAGGCTGTGAAAAAGTTTGCTATTTAATATTACTTTTCATCTGAAATTGATAAAAATGTTGTTGAGATTTTTTAAAAATGAACTTTATCCAGAAAAAAAAATATTTACAAACAAGTCAGCAAAGAGCCATCACCTCAAATCTAGTCAGTGTTGGAAGTGGCATTTGGTAAATTTTGGAGGAGGTTTTCCCAAGGTGCAGCTGCCTGGTCTGGTACAGAGAGCAGAGTGGGAATGCTGTGAAGAGCAGCCAGGACAAAGCAGCTTGCCCAGTCCTGTGGGCCTGTGGCTCTGCTTTTCATGGAATTGCATTTTTTGCCTCTTGAATTCATCCTGCTCTTCTCCCCTCCTCCCCCACTGTCTTCCTTTAGGAACAAGTATCTGCTTTTGAACAGCCAGGAACTGAATGAGCTGAGTGCAATCTCCCATAAAGCCAACATCCCTGAAGTGGATGCAGTTGTCAACACTGACAGGTGAGGGGGGACTGAGGGTGTAGGTTGGCAATTTAAGAGTTTTGGAAACACTTAAACTGGAAGTTTGACATCAGCTCTTTTGTTTGGCCTCTGTCTGTCCACCACACCTTCCTTTCAGTGACTCCTTTCAGTGGGAGGTGTCCAGGTTTGTGGGATGTTGATGGTCATTAGCAAATCTCAGGTGTGCTCATGCTCAGAATAAGGTGTTTCAAAACCAAAAGCAACTTTTAAAACCCCTAAAAAGAGGGATTGGAGTTCATGGCTCAAACTTCACTGTGATGTGCTGGGTCTGCCTGTCTGGCCTTCCTCAGGTCAGGCATTGCAGACAGACCTGGAAAGATCTGATCCCTCAAATCATTAATTGCTCCTGCTAATAAATCTTAGGTCTGGCATTCAGGAGCACACATCAGTGTCCATTTCCAGGCTGCATGAACACATCCAAGTGTCTGCTCAGAGTATTTTAAGAGCAGCTAATAACCAGAATAAGCTAAATTAGATTAACATGTTCAACCACTTAAAGAATCTCTTCTGTTCCATTTGAGTATCTGTTAGATGGACTGTTTTGATCTAATAATCTCTTTAATACACGATTCTGGTGTATAAACCTCAGCAGATGGAAGGTTGTTCACAAAATTTAGTTTGTCAGAATACTCCCAGGGTATCAGCAGGGACTTGGTCTGCACAGAGCAGATTTACCTCACTCCAAAAGGGAATCTCTAAGAGGATTTCTAGATTACAGTTATTATGATAATACTGTGTCTAATTGGGAAGAACTTGGGTTTTTTTTTTTCACCCTTAGCATTTAGTTTTCATGTTGCTTTTCTTGATATGTGAGATCAAGGCATTACTTCTGTATGAGTTTAATGCAGGTGGATGCTCCCCTGAAGGTGCTGTTTAATACAAGCAGTATTGCAGTTGTACAGCCTCAGTGCTTGTACTACAACCTCATGTAGTATGGAAAGCATCCAGCTTTACCTCCTAAATGGAATTTAGACTTTTCTTTACATTTTTTGAGGGGGGAAAAAGGGGGTTCTTTCATTCCTAAGCTCTTTTTTTTTTCTTATCTCTTATCTTTCTTACCTCTTGATTCACACAAGGTGTGAATTGGTATTTCTGAAATCATTAAAATTCTGAGAGGAAGTTTTTCTTTTGGACTTATTTGGAAGTCGTGTTGCAGAAATTTACCAAGCTCAAGGAGGAGAACTCCTCTGCTGGTAGAACTAGCACAATATTTGTACTGTGTACTTCAATACTGAGATCTTAATCATCAAAAACTCTGGAGCAGTGACTGGATTCAGTGCTCAGTGCTTGTCCAGCCCTTCCACTCAGCTGTCATTTCTCCACCTGCTGCAGGAGCCTTGTCTGTGATGGGAAGAGAGGTTTGTTGACCAGATTGCTTCAGGTCATGAAGAAGGAACCTGCAGAATCCTCCTTCAGGTGGGTTCACTTTGCCTCTGTGAGCTGTGTGAGACCTCTGGGATGTAGCTTTGGTTTCATCCAGCTTAGAGCAGCTGAGAATGTTGGAGAATAAGCTGTGCAAAGGACTGGTTTTGTTGTGCTGTGGTGCCAATGCAGGTGTGAAGAAATCACAGCCAGTGATTTTCTGCAGGATCAGCAGGTCTGACTCCAGCTTCAGAGTAGAATGAAACAGCTCAGAAAACCGGATTTAAATGCCAGTTGTGATCAATTACTTCCCTTGTCCCAAAATTAACACCTCCTTTCTTCTCTTTCTCAGGTTTTGGCAAGCAAGGGCCGTTGAAAGTTTTCTGCGAGGCACCACCTCCTATGCAGACCAGATGTTCCTCCTCAAGAGAGGACTCCTGGAGGTGAATAAATTTGTCAGGCATCCTCCACAGCAATCAAGAAGGGTTTATCTGCAGTGAACCAGAAATGGATAAAAATGTAGTGTTAAATATTATGCTGGGTTTAAAACTCAGCAGGGAAATGAAGGCCACTCAAGCTGCCCCCTTGCAGTAGTGGGGGAATAAACACTCAGGGAGATAAATCAGGGTCACAATTTACTGGAGAAATCAGAATAAATGCAACAATAATAATAAGTGTAAAACTGCCCCTTATTCCTGTGTAAATATGACAAATACTAGGAACACTTATAAAAAAAACCTTTGAATTCTGCTTGTGGCAGCCAGATGTGGCCATTTGTTATCACTGGGAAGTTATTTCAACAGGAGACTCACCTGAATTCTTGTCTTTAGTTTGGTAATATGACATTCAGTCACCCAAGAACTCGCAGATAAATGCTTTAAATACTGATTAAATCAGAGTCTGTGTTGTGCTGCTGGCTTGGACTAGGCTGTAGCAATAACATGTTTTCCTCCCCTGCCAGCATATTCTCTACTGCATTGTTGATAGTGAGTGCAAGTCACGGGATGTGCTTCAGAGTTACTTTGACCTTCTGGGAGAGCTGATGAAATTCAATATTGATGCATTCAAGAGGTTCAACAAGTACATCAACACAGATGAGAAGGTAAATATTTGTAAAAGCTGCCCCCTGTGGCTCAAATTACACACTTTTATAACCAAACATAGCACTAAAACTTGGATTCATTTGTGTTTTGTGTGCCTTTAGAGCTTGGGGCACAATAAACATTAAGGGGTGAATTGCCCAAGTCCCTCAGTGTTTTCAGCAGTGCTCCAGCTGTCCTGAGATGGACAGTAAACATCCCCCTGTTCCATGATCAGGCAGGTCTAAGGTCAGGCTCAAGGGCAGTAGAACATTTCCTGTGAAGTGGCTAGATTTGTGGTTAAGTGATAGTTGTGGATATTGAAACAGCTCCAAAAAATCTTTTACTGGAGCTTGCAGTGGGAATTCCTTCGTGAATAAGGCTTAAAATACTTGATACTGCAAACAGACACAGATATTTTATGTTATTTGAATTTAGAGATGTTTTTAAGAAGCTATGGCTTATGTAATTAACTATAAAATTGAGCTGCACTTCAATGGACAGCTCTATGCAAAGTGGTTTCATACTCTTGTGCACTTTGAACACATAACATCAGCTGGTGGGAAGGTTCTCAATGGCCTTATACTCTTGCTTTTGTCCTTAATTTTTCTCTCATTGCTGTTAGGTCTGGTAGACCTTGGAGAAGGGATGTATAAATGTATTTAAAAGAAAACTGTATTTATTTTGGGGGTTTTTCTCTAGTAAATTAACTCAAACATTCTAGAGAATGTCTTTTTATTTCCTATGTGCTTCCTGTTTATTGATCTCTAACTGGGTTTAGTTGTTGTTCTGTGTGACTCCCTCACTGTATTCCTCCCTAGTGCTGTCTGCTTGTACAAAATCAGTGTAGGAAAACATGGAGCTGCAGGAATTGCCCCTCTTTCAAAACAAATAGTGTATGAAATCTCACTTTCATTGGAGTGACATAGCTTCAAAAGAGTTTTTGGGGGTGCTAGGATGGCGTTTTTCCTTTCCATTGTGTTTTTAAGTGATCCTTTGGTCAGTCCTCAGTGCCAATTTGGCTTGGGCTGGGTGAGGCAGGGCTGGGGATGATGTCTCTTCTTACCTTGTTAGAGATAAATAAAAAGCTAATGAACCTGAGTATTAATATATTTAAATCTTCTAAATTCAACACTAAAAAGTTTCTGTTCAGTTCCAGGTATTTTTAAATCAGATCAACAGCTCTCTGGTGGACTCAAACATGCTCGTTCGCTGCATCACGCTGTCCCTGGACCGCTTTGAGAATCAGTCTGATGCTAAAGGTGACCAGGAAGCAATGGGGTGGGACTGGGGGGTGTTCAGTGATGAAAATGCTTCATTTAAATCTGGGCTTTGACACTTTGGGGGGGTTAGACAAGGAAAGTTTGAGCACCGGTTCTTAGTGCTGCAGTGCTTGGATCAGAGCATGTCTGAACCTCCAGCTCCTGGTGATTGTGGTTCTGCTCTTGCTGCAGTTGCAGAAGTCCTGTCCGAGTGCCGCCTGTTGTCCTACATGTCCCAGATGTCCATGAGAATGTCCTTCCTCTTCCGTCTCATTAACATTATCCACGTCCAGACACTGACACAGGTAAAGAGCTGCCAGGGACCTTGCAGTTGCCTTACAGGGACTGGAGTGGTGAGCAGGGTTTTCCTGGAGGACACCCATGTCCCTTTTTCCTTGCTGTGTGCAGGAACACCTCCACTGTGTGCTTTCCACGGGCTTGTTTTATAGAGATGTGTATACAACAGGTATCTTGGTATTCAGATTTTTTTTGCTGTGTCATTTTTACTTCCAGGAAAATGTCAGTTGTTTGAACACAAGTTTAGTTATCCTAATGCTGGCCCGAAGGAAAGAAAAGCTCCCTTTTTATCTGCGCACCTTGCAACAGATGGAATACACAGAAAAATACCCTGGCTTCATCCTGAACAACTTCCACAGCCTCCTGCGATTCTGGCAGCAGCATTACCTCAACAAGGATAAAGACAGCACCTGCTTAGAAAATGTATGTGACTCTTAGCATGGCAGGAGTCAGTCACAGCAGCACCTGCCTGCCAGTCCCCTGGCAGAAGTGGGAGGTTGAGGAGGTTCTGCCCCCTGTGTAACTCTTGTGGTGCTTTTCATACCTCAGAGTCAGGCTGTCACAAGGCAGGTGCTGGGCTTCCCTGTAAACAGAGCCTGAGGTCTTGGCTCTGGCACACAGAAGTGAGACTTGCCAGTGCTGAGTGGGGTGGAGAGGCAGAGCTGGCAGGATGGCCAGGGAGGGGGAGGCAGGACAGAATCCAGTTCCCAGACTAGTTAGCACCTTAGCCAGACTGTTCTGCCTTCCTGGTGTGACAAACATTGCAGGAAAAATATCTGATGTAGCTGCTGGAAGCCAAGGGAGCAGCCTGTGGGTTTCTGTGCCAGAGCTGGTTTGTCCTGGGTCACTGGTGGGTAGAAATAACCAATTATCTAATTATGTGGGTGACACATGGTCTGGTGTTGGGCTGCTGGGGTGGCATTGAGGGAATAATGCAGGAGGGGTGTGAGCAGGGAGTGTGTTGGTTTTTGTGTCATCTCGGGAGTGGGAGCTATTTCCAGCATTGCCTTATCTGCAGCACCACAGGGTCCCAGTTTGTGTTTGGACTGGACAGTGAAGGAGGAGTTTGGGATTATGGCTGTACTGGCTGGGGTCACCCTGAGTCCTTGTCTGCATCTGGAGAGTGGGCAGCTGGTTGTAGTGGGTGTAGTTGTTCAACACCCAGGGAGGGAGGGCAGAGTGGGGAATCCAAAGTGCTGGTCACATTGTGGGGCTGAACAGGAAGTGATTTTCAGCTTTGGGAGGTGTTCCCTGCTGTGGCCTCCACTCACCCTCGTGTTGTCTGTGCCCACAGAGCTCCTGTATTAGTTTTACCTACTGGAAAGAGACTGTTTCGATACTGCTCAGTCCGGACCGGACGTCCCCCTGTGCCATAGTGAGCTACATCGACGAGGCGTACATGGACATTGACAGAGACTTCTCTGAGGAGTAATTCCACCTCCAGCTTGTGATGGACAGCTCGGAGGCTCCCTCGCAGCCCGGGCATTTTCAGGGATTCGCTGTGTAGTGTGTGTGTGCAGCTTGGAGCTGCGGAGCGTCCCACCCCTGCCCCTGCCGGCCCCCAGCTCTGACCTCTGAGACTCGGACAGCTCTCTGGGCAATACATTCAGGGATGTATCTTCCAGTTGTTCTGGGATAAAAATAATCACCTGCACAAACCAGCCTGTATTATTTTTTTCCTCTCTCCCAGTCCGGTGGGGCTGGCAGAAGGGGTTTTGCTGACATGAGGGTTCTCTGTATGTGCCAGTTGAGGTGTGGCTCTCTCAGGGCTGCTAGGATGAGCAAGTTGAAAAGCACAGCAATTGCCCTCCAAGTGTGAGGTGCAAGGAGCCCATCTGAGTGGGACCCCAGCACCAGCCACGTGCAAAGCCACCACGAGGACTCCCTGCAGGTGTAACTCTTCTGCTGGGCTTTGGGGTTGGTTAGAGCATGAGTGTGTGTGCGTGTGTGTGCTTTTAATTCCTGAGAGCCCCAGCTCCAGTCACCTCTTTACCATCACCTTTTGGATCATTTGGTACTAAATCTGTCTGTGCATTAGGAGAGAACCTCTGCTCCTGCTGTCCTTCCTGCAGATCCTTCCCATCCGGAGGTGATTCACAGTGCTGGAGAACAGACATTTCAGCAGTGGTGGAATTGCAACAGGGGTTGGCTTTTTCACGGAGCACTAGTATTAAAACGTACTAATTTTTTAAACTTGCAGCTTGTCCCTTCTTGGGTAACTAATCTGGTTTTAAAATCCTTTTCAGGACCATTGCTCTTGATGTTAACCTGCTATGCCTGGAAGTCTTATGTCAGTTTCTGCTTTCAGTCCTTAATATCAACACACACATTAATCTTGAAAGTGCAATATTTATTGGAGATGTCCGTTTTTTTCCTGGATCTGTTTTAATTAGAATGTGTTAAATGCTGGGAATAAACACTCCTGGTTGAAAGTAACTTTGTAGGATATGTTGGGAAGGGGGGAATGGGGTTTTGGCAGTCTTGATTGCCAGACCTACAACTGCCCTGCCTGCTCACCCAACACCATGTTGCTCCAACACATTCAGATACCCAGGAATGAGATACACTGCACTTAAGCCACTCCATTTAACATGTCTTGCAGCTACAGCTGAAAGAAACCAGTTTTGAAACACACATTGGAATTTTTTTAATATTTTCTAATTTATTTGACAAGATGACTTCAGCTCTGTCCAGGCTCTGAAGGGGTGAGGATGTCCCAGAGCTGCAGCCTTTTGTCTCCTGGTTGTCAGCAGCATGAAACCCACCCTGAGGCTCCCTGTGCTGGGGCTGGAGGGGCAGGACTTGTCTCTGAACATTCTCCTTTCTCTTCTCCCACACCTCAGTGTCCTGCTCTGGGCTCACAGGGTGGTCAGAGCTGCTGAGTTTGTGCATGAAGCTGGAGCCTTGCAGGAGCTCCTGGGGATCCTGGTGTCCCTCTCTGGGAGCTGCTCTGGTGAGGGTACCCTGGGGCGCTTCTTGCCATGGCAGCTTCAATTCTGTTCCTCACCAGGTCACCTGCACCCTTCCCCTCCCTCCCCTCAGCTCATTTCTTTCTCATCTGTACTTTTTTTGTTCTTGGGTATTTGTATTTTTGGTGTATCTTTGCTTCTTCTTAACTGTAATAGATGTACACTTTAAAAATAAATGCTTCAAATTAAAAGGCTTTTAAGTTAAGGGATACCTTTTCCACAGTGTAGTTAATCCACTGATTGCTGCTGTAACCTGCAGCTTCACTCCCCTCTGTTTTAAAGACAGTTTGGGGCCCAGCTGCCTCTGGCCTTGCCCAGGGGCTGGGGGAAGCTGAGCTGAGCCCGCACCATCTCTGGGGGTCCTCCCAGTCCTGAGACATGGGCTGGGCTTTGCTTTTGGGCTGATTCAGCTGAGAACGGCACAGGGAAGAAAGCCCTGGCAGCTCCTCCAGGGGCGGGGTATGCTGCACTCCAGTGCACAGAGGGTCACAGGCAAATCCCAGCTGGGGCCACATTCCTTTGGGATGTCTGTCCATGCCAGAGGCCTCGAGAGATCATGGTGAGAGAGACCAGACCCATGGATGTGGCAGCGGCCTCTGGGCTGGGATGGGAGAGGGGTGGGAGCCCCTGGCACTAACAAATACCTCTGGAAGTCTGCACTGTCCCCATGGATTGCTGAGGTTCATCCTGCCCTTATTAATGCTGATTTGCTAACTGCAAATAAACTTATTAAATGGAAACTATTAAAGAAATCTATTTTAAAGAAATGAGTGGAGATGTCTTTCTTTCCAGTGCCTTTGCCAAAGCCCCTCCAGGGCTGTATGAGGGGGCTTTATGTTGTCAGGAGTAGTGGCTGAGGTCTGTCGTGCCTCAGCTCTGGTCCCCTGCAGTTAGAGATGTGTTTTGGTGGAGAGGTGTGAGGAAAGGGCTCTTTTCCCAAAACCCATCCCAAGCCAGGGTCATAAAGCTGGGAGAGGGAGGCCTGGGCTTCTCTCCTGCCTGTGCCTTCCTGTGAAAAATGCTCCCCAAGACCCCAGGGGCAGAGGCCAAGGCCCTGGTTACCCTGTGACACACAACAGAGCCAGTCCTGGCAGATGGACGTTTATTCGTGCAGTGCAAAGCTGACAGTGACTGTTGCAGCCACTTGCCTCCAACCTACAGCAGCAGCTGGGACAGGGCAGGGCAGGGCAGCCGGGCTCCTAATGCTGGAAAAAAAATCCCCAAAGGGTTTTGGTGAGAGGAGGGATCAGAGGCAAGGAGCTCCAGCATCAGTGGAAGGTGAGGCAGCAGTGCCACAGCAAGAGGTGACTGTGGCTCTGTGGTCACTCCCCTGGCTCCAGGGCTGGCAGGAGCCCGTGCCCACCTCCCCACACTCCCATCCAGGAGTGCCCACCTTGGTGATGACGTCCCTGGTGCGGGCACGCAGTTTGTTGACCTGGGTCTCGGCGATGTCGGCGCGTTCCTCGGCGTCGTCCAGCTCGTGCTGCACCTTGCGGTACTTCACCAGGTTGGAGTTGGCCTGCTGCTCCTGGGTGGGGACACGGGAGGGGTGGGTGCATGGGCCACAGGGACAGCAGGCTCTGAGCTCCCCACATTGCTCTCATGGCAGGCAGTCCAGGGACCTGTCCCAGAGCAGTGAAGGACACTTACTGCCTCCTCAAACTGGCGCTTGTAGCTCTTGACCTTGCTCTGCAGCTTGTCAATCAGGTCCTGCATCCGAGCCAGGTTCTTCCGGTCTTCCTCAGCCTGCAAGAGCCCCAGCTCCCTTAGCCACACCCCAGCAGCCCCTCACCTCCACCTTCATCAGAGTCCCCGTGGTGCTAGGTCACAAACACAGCTCCAACCTGCCCCACCAACCCCGCCCTGTGTCACAGCACCTGTCCCTTGGTCTCCCCATTTTGTCCCATCACCCAGCTCAGGAGGTGTTGGGAAATGGGGAGAAGGACCTAGAGCAGGGAGAGGATGTTGTGACAGGGAGAAGCTTGTGCAGTTGTTGTCATTCCCCACGCAGAGCCCAGAAGTTCAGGCTGAGCTGGGCTTGGTGAGGCCAAGCAAAGAGAATTGTAGCAGGTGCTGCTGGAGTGGGGCTGGACCTGTGTCCACAGCTGCTGTACCTGGTAGCTCAGCTCCTTGACCCTGCGCTCGTACTTGCGAATGCCCTTCTGGGCCTCTGCCATCTTCTTCTGCTCTGCATCCAGCTCTCCCTCCAGCTCCCGCACCTGCAGGGCCACACACTGGCTCAGCACTTGGCTCCCAAGCACCAGCACCAGCCCAGCTAAAGCCAAGACACCTTCCCAGCTCAGAGAAGCCACAGCAGAGGCTAAAACCATCCTGAGCTGGGCCCAGGCTGGCAGGGCCTTGGGGACTGTCCCCTGGTCCCCCAGAGACACCACCTGTCCTCAGAGGGATGGGGCAGCCCCTGGACTTGGCCTCTGAAGAGCACAGCCAGGGATCTGCCCCTACTTTCTCACCCTGGCCTCCAGCTTCTGGATCTGCTTCTTGCCTCCCTTGAGAGCAATCTGCTCTGCCTCGTCCAGGCGCATCTGCAGGTCCTTGATGGTCTGCTCCATGTTCTTCTTCATGCGCTCCAGGTGTGCACTCATGTCCTGCTCCTTCTTCAGCTCCTCTGCCATCATGGCAGCCTGCAAGGCAAAGAGCAGGGGACATCATCACAAGGCCAGGCAGCCCTGCCAGACCAGGGGCTCAGCAGAGATGTTGTGAGACCCTCCCCAGCCACGCAGCACAGTCCCCACCACCCTCTTACATCCATGATGGCCTTCTTTGCCTTCTCCTCAGCATTGCGACACTCCTGCACTGCATCCTCCACCTCGCTGCTCAGCTGGGAGATGTCTGCCTCCAGCTTCTTCTTTTGGTTGATCAGACCCATGTTCTGCACACAGAGCAGGTTCAGTGTGACCAGGGCTGGTCATTCATCACTGCTGGACAGACTGCTGGCTGTCCCACCAGTGCAGACACAGGAGTTGGCAGTGCCCCACCTGGGAGTGCAGCAGGGTGACCCTCTCGGTGATCTCCAGCAGCTCCTGCTCTGCCAGCTTCCTGCTCCTCTCCGTCTGCTCCAGGGCTGCCCTCAGCTCTCCCACCTCTGCCTGCAGCAGGTTGTTGCGGCGTTCCAGGGCACCCACCTGTTCTTTCAGGTCATCGTTGTGGTGCAGGGTGTCATCCAGCTCGATCTGCAGGTCCTGTGAGGCAGCATGGGGTCAGTGGGGACAGCACAGAGCCGTGCTGGCAGCAGGGACAGCCCCGAGTCTGTCCCAACCTTGATCTGGGCCTGGAGGTGACGGCCCATCTTCTGGAACTCGGCAGCCTGGCGGTTGGCATGGTTCAGCTGGATCTCCATCTCGTTCAGGTCCCCCTCCATCTTCTTCCTCAGCCGCACGGCCTCGTTCTTGGCCCGGGCCTCTGCGTCGAGCGAGGCCTGCATGGAGTCCATGGCACGCTGGTGGTTGCGCCTGCAGGAGAGGCCGTGCATCAGCACTGGGGACACCCAGGCCTGGGGACACCCTGCCGGGCCACAGCGCCAGCTCTGCCCCCACAGCCATGTCCCAGCCTGTCCCCTCACCCCACACACCTCAGGTTCTCAAACTCCTCGTCCTTCTCTGCCAGCTTCCTGTCCATCTCGGCCTTGATCTGGTTCAGCTCCAGCTGGATACGCAGGGTCTTGCTTTCCTCGT